AATTTGGCCTTGAACTTATAAGCAGCTGTTTATAAGGCTTCAGAAAAGCAATTTAAAAAAAAAAACAACCCTTTTTAAGTGTATCAAATTCAATGGCATAATGAGTAGGTGGATTTCATTCTTCCCAGTCACGTGAATGTCAACTCTATTTGTTGAAAGCTCTGATTGGAATAGGCGGCAGCAACCACACTGAACTTTTCATACAGCGACATGTAAATGCAATTTCTGTGTTTGTCTGCTAAGTCTTACTTCTACATTTTTCAGATACTCGCGCTTTAGTTAAAAATGGAGGCTACTTTTAGTCTGGTAAACCACATCAAATCCTAGCACTCTCTAGCAGTACCAAAAGAATATTTGCCTTTCAGTCATTCTATGATAATTTTTTAGGTCATCACCAAGAACAGTGGTTTAGTAGAAAGTCTAATGAAACCTAAAATCTTCTAGAAATGTTGGCAACCATTTCAGATTATTCCTTCAACACCGAGGATTGCTGCTGGAGGCACCATTTTCTATGTAAATAACTTTAAGATACAGCAACCTTCGATTTCATTTACTGGTGTAATTTGAAAAATCTAGGGTTTTTTGTTGCTCTGAAGATACATTCTGCTTTCCTTTTCGTAATGGAAAAGACTGTGCTTTTTCCCCTCTGTTTAACTTTTTTTTTTCCTTATTTTGTTACAGATCCATTTTTCCCCCTTTCTTTTCTGGTGAACAGCTGGTTTCCTGGAATGCTGGATGATCTATTCCAGTCACTGTTTCTGTGTGCACTGTTGCTGTTCTGGCTTTGTGTCTACCATGGTATAAGAGTACAGGTAGGGTGTAACATTATCTACTACTTACTGAGAAGGCAGTACTTGTTTTTTCAGTTCTCTCAAAAGGTGACAAAAATGAAACCAAATTTTTAAAAAAGAGACATTTATTTTATTCTTAAAGTACAATGTGACACATGAAGCTTTGGCGTTAAAATGATTTGTGGTGAAGTAGATTGTCTTGAGGCTACCATGCCTAAATGAGAGAGATGGGACAGTCCGCTCTAAATTATTGCAAGACAGTCTTCAGAATTATGATGTCATTATGCTTTGTTCTTGCTTGAAGGGTTTTGTTGTTGTATATGGCGGTTGATTGTCTTTTAAACCACTTTAAAATACTGCATATGATAAATATGAATTCTGGAGCATATTCCTATATTTGCAGTATGAGTGAAGTATGTGAGACCTTATAAATAGGATGCTCCAAATCTACTGTATCTTATTAACACAAATGATGATACAATTTTATGTCTTCTGTAATCACTTGTGCAGGTTAAAAATACATAAAGCGAGTGTCTTAATCTAGTTCGTGTTGAATGAAACAAAGATGATAGTTAATTTATTCTGTCAAGAATGAATGAAATCCCAAATGTGGGTTCACTCCTTCACCACACTATTGTTTTCCCAACAGGGGGAAAGGAAGTGCTTAACTTTTTATCTGCCCAAATTCTTTATTGTTGGACTGTTGTGGCTGGCCTCTGTTACACTGGGAATATGGCAAACGTAAGTAATTTAAAACGTAGTGCAAAAGTAGCGAGTTGAGAGTGTTCAAGAATGAGAAGACTGTTTATAATTAGTGGTATCTGTTTCTTAGTGCTCTGATTGTGATATAGGAATGGAGTTCAAATTCTTACATCTTTCTGTTTTGCAAATTGTGACTGATTTGAAAACACAATTCCCCATGGACGATCTAGTAGTACATAATTTTATAAACCAGAGTGAGATCTAGAAATCACTACTTTGTCAATACGTTATGACTCCCTACAATACTCCCTCTAGCGCTATGTCACAATTAGCTTTTAGTATTTGAAGCAACAGTTTCTCTGTAGTTAATTGTTGCACAGTTTGACCAAACTTTCTCAACTATTAAACCTGCACAATTGGTATTGGCGCTGCTTAGTCAAGCTATGCTCTCTCTCCTCAAAACTCAGTTCTTTTGCTTGGTTTAGTGTTTCTCTCTTTTTTCCCAATTTGTTGTGTTAACAAAAAGGTGTCACTATTCCCCACCCAGAAAACTTTCTCAGTTTTGGTACATTTGTCGTTTCTAAACCATTTTAGTCTCAAGTGTTTACCTCTTATTTTATTTCTCAGAAGGAAGACACCTTCTAACCTTCTCCATGCCGTTGTACATTGTTGAAAGCAGTGCAGTTGCAGAAAATGCTTGTGCTGATGCCCTATCAGCAGAATTGCTATGAGGGAAGGGCTTATACCACAGTTATTTCTTAAGTATAATTCTTATCACCAAGGATAAAATTTAAACACTAAATCCTGAAGGCTTGTAGGAATTTATGAGATTATACGTTTTCTAAAAAATAAGTGGGGAGATTAGACATGCTCACAACTGAAATCCTCCATATTCCTTCAAAATTGGGTTTGGGAAGAAGGAGGATGTCATGTACTGTAAATTGTCATGGAATCAGTGGCATTGCACCGATTTATACAGCCAAAACCTTTAGTTATAAACTCCGTATAGCAACTTTAAACCTTTTCTTTGTTAGTGGGTTTCTTGGTCAGTACGGCTTTTTGACCTTGTCTTTTGTAATGGTGTAAGCACTACTTTTTCATTTTGAATCTTTTCTAGTGTTAGTGAAGTACATGATCCTACATATCAATACAGAGTCGACACAGGTAATTTCCAGGTAAGTCAGAAATGTTTTCTTGCTATTAAATTGTCAGGTGGAGTTAGGCAATACAAAGAGGTGGGGTTTGTTCTTCTATTAAAATCTGTAACACAATTTAGAAAATAGCAAATGCTGGTCAGATGGTCTTATTCTGACTAGGGTACTTTTAATTTTGCTTTAGATCACGCATAGGCCATATTGAGCTCCATCCCAATGAGAAGAGTAAATTGTCTTGCAAATCTGGAGACTCAACACCACAAGTTTAGTCACAGACTCATGACTGTTGGGATTGAAAGAAAATTTTTTAAGCCTCTTATTAAATCAGTTTTGTACATCCTTACTCCTGCCAAGATCCTCTGTCCTAGTAAATTTCAGACTTTCTTGTTGTAAAGGAAGATCTGATTTATATGGGTCCTTATATTGTTCTCAGGGGCTGTGTTTTTAGAAAATCATTGAGATTCAGCTCACTGTGAACTCAGTGAACAAAATGATGACTTCTGTGTCTACATCAAAATGATGCAAATGTGTCTTAAAATAAATGGTCGACATGTTAACATAATTATTTTCTCATATACTTTTCTATCAAGCTCCCATTTCAATTTTGCTGTTTAAAGACACTGCACTAAGACACAGCATAAAGTTATATGCTTTAACTTTTTTAACTTTTTTTCCAACTTTCTTTGCATTCCCCAAAAACCTACCTTGACGTACAGCCATCCTCGTTTTGTACTTCCTTTCATGAGCCTACTTTCCCTGAATAAATGGACCGCTCTATGTTGTGCTTTGGGAAATAATGATTTCTATTGAGGGAAGAATGAAAAGACCGAATCTCGTTAAATAATAAAAACTAACGCTCTTCTTATAGGGAATGAAGATCTTCTTCCTTGTGGTGGCAACCACATACATTCTCTACCTTTTGTTCCTGATAGTGAGGGCATGCTCAGAACTTCGTAACATGCCTTATGTTGGTAAGGAGTATTTCTTTTGATTCTTCCCCAAACAGGCTTGCTTCTCCTAGATGTAGGTGTAAATTGGCTAATAACTTTTCTCAATCTTTTTCAGATCTCAGGTTAAAATTCTTGACTGCATTAACCTTTGTAGTGCTTGTCAGTAGGTAAGGCTTTTCAAAGTACGTTTCTCAGTACTGTAACTTTTATAACTTTTTTCCCAGGGCTTTGAATACATTTTGTTGATAATAAAATTGTCCATGAAACTGAGGAATGTCTTTTAATATGATTGTTATGGCAAACATTTCTTAATTTTTTAACCCTTCTTGAGGCTTTTAGAGCTAACTTTATATTATTTCCATTACCACAGCAGTACACTGCAAGATTTAGAGGTTCACTTAGCAGAGATGTTTTCTGTACTGCTGAGTGGTCTGCAGTGCACCGTTCACCTCTTTTGGAGCTTTGTAAGCTTCACTTAGTCAAAGCAGAAGTTTAGATTTAGTTTCTTAGATTATTGTTAATATCTGTCTCCCCCACTCCAAGCAGTTACTTCAAATTATTCTTGACTCTTGGATTGTCTGTAGTGGATGAAATCTGAGGGAAGTAGACTATGGGGTTGTTTTTCCGCTTTACTCAGTTGAGTAAATACTGCTGATTTTTAATCACAAAAGAATCATTCTTAATTTAGAGCTATGAAAGCAAATGTGTCTTAAAATAAATGGTCGACATGTTAACATAATTATTTTCTCATATACTTTTCTATCAAGCTCCCATTTCAATTTTGCTGTTTAAAGACACTGCACTAAGACACAGCATAAAGTTATATGCTTTAACTTTTTTAACTTTTTTTCCACAGCATTGTTATACTCTACCTACGCTTTGGAGCACAAGTTCTACAGGACAACTTTGTTGCTGAGCTGTCAACTCATTATCAGAATTATATCCTTCTGTTGTGATACTGCTCAACTAGGAATGTTAATCTGTTTTCATGCAGAAGGTACTTAAAAATGATGTACCTAAGGACTGATGCCTTTGAATTCTGGGTGGGCTTTTGAAGTTTGGTCCATTTTGATCGAGGTTTCGTGTCAGCATTTTGCAATGGCTGTTTGTAAAGATTATGAACTGAGACAGTTTCAGTCTAATTTGTTTACATCACATAAATTACAGCTGCATTTGATACTCTTCAAAAGGAATGAAGGACTAGATATGCATGCATTCAAGTAATTTAAACAAGTTATTGTGACAAATTTGGCTGCAAATACATGCATGAATTCAGTTTGCTGTATACCTATCAGTTGGCATGAGGCGTACCAAAATATTTGAGAAATTAATAGTTTAGAAGTCACTGAAAATGACTTTGATTTGAAACTGAAAATGTGTTTGTGTATTGGTCCAAGTCTACATGTGGAAGAGGTCATAGCAGAGAATTTAAGTGACTTGAGAGAGACTGTTTCTGATGTCTGTTGGCAACAGGATTACAAACTGTATTTCTGGACCTGAACCATGAGATCCTCATTCATTCTACTTTCTGCAAGTGCCTGTGTGACTGCAACTGCTCCAGTTACTGATAAGCTTAGATATGTGTTGGGAGCTAGTAGAAAACAATATGTAAAGCCTTTAGTATTTTCCCAAAATGGTGGCAAGAAGCCATCTTCAGAGTTCTATCTACAGATAGTCCTTTCTTCTTCCTTCTCAACTGCTGTGCCAAGCAAGAACTTCTTTAAAAATAAACAAAACAAAATAAAACAAAGACGTGAACACCCCCCTTAGTCAGCTTTCCTTTAGCATTGAAGGCAGAACTATTCAATTTACCGTGCACTCCACCACTCAAGAGTAGACCTTATCTCAGCAAATGTTACTTGTGTTAAAGTTAAAGCTTTGTCTTCAGTGGGAGCTTTACCTCAAAATCACTTGAGTACGTTAGTTGTGTCGTGGTTTAACCCCAGTCAGCAACCAAGCACCACACAGCCACTCGCTCACCCTTCCTCCCCAGTGGGATGGGGGAGAGAATTGGAAGGGCAAAAGTGAGAAAACTTGTGGGTTGAGATAAGAACAGTTTAATAATTGAAATAATAATAATAATAAGAAGAATTGTAATGGAAAGGACAACAACAAAAAAAAGAGAGAGAGGAACAAAACCCAGGAAAAACAAGTGATGCAACCACTCACCACCCGCTGACTGACGCCCAGCCAGTCCCTGAGCAGCGATCACTGCTTCCCAGCCAACTCCCCCCAGTTTATATACTGAGCATGACGTCATATGGTATGGAATATCCCTTTGGCCAGTTTGGGTCAGCTGTCCTGGCTATGCTCCCTCCCAGCTTCTTGTGCACCTCCTTGCTGGCAGAGTATGGGAAGCTGAAAAGTCCTCGACTTAGTATAAACACTGCTTAGCAACAACTAAAACATCGGTGTGTTATCAACATTATTCTCATGCTAAATCAAAAACACAGCACTGTACCAGCTACTAGGAGGAAAATTAACTCTATCCCAGCCGGAACTAGGACAAGTTGTCATTGAATTTAGAACATGCAGGTTTTTTTTAGCCATGCATGCTCTCAAACTTTAGTAAGGTAAACATTCTTCCTATTGAAACAGCTTATGTATGGTTTGGGTCTTGTTTCCAAAGTTAATATGTATGTGGAGCTATATTGAGCAATATCCTTGACACTTACTACCAGCAGAATTCTTATCATTTTATGGTTTATTGAACTTTTATCTCTACACATTAGCCTTCGTGTATTCCCCCTCAAAGAATGCACTATATGGTAAGTGTAAGCAATTATCTGGCAAACTTAGATGACGAGAGCTGGCATATTAGCAGATGCTGTGTAACATCTTTATATTTTGGTTGTCTCATTACTCTTTCAGTTTGCTTTGAGTTAACATAAGCAGAAGCTGCACTGCTCCTGAGCAAATTAGTATTGGAAATATGAAGGAACACATAAAATGTATACAACTGAATAGCTAGACTTGAATTCTGATGCACTTAGATCAAGCTTATAGTCAAGATGATATTTGCGTATAACGCACTAACTTTTGCCCTGACTCACAGACAATCCTTAAGGAGCAACAATACTTCGTTTGTACTTTGTTCTAACAAGAAGGTTAATGTATTGTCATGCTGGCAAACTGGACTCTGAAATGGGTAACATGCTGTTGGAAAAGTAGGAGTGAAGCTGATCTCAACATGGGGGAATTTTGGGGAACTTGCTATGGGGAGAGGGCTCCACAGAACCCATGTAAATGGAGATAAAGGAATGAATCAGTGGCACTTCTGTTTTTGCATTCCTACTTAGAGGTTGTAATCTGACGCACATGATGATTATAAAGCATTATCCCTCTCTAACTGATAAAGGTTCTGTAAAATAAATATTTATACTGAGTGCATTCTCTGCTTTAAGCATTGAGATGCAGAACCGTAGAACAGCCCAGGTTGGAAGGGACCTGGAAAGATCATGTGGTCCAACC